AAAAATTAAATAAATAGTGAACATCAAAATGATTATTGCACTCTCCCACACTGTAGATGGCACTGAAGAATAGATATAAACTACATGTTCCAACAGAGAAGTGTAGTCAGCTTTACTTTTGCAGTTACATCCACAAAACCACACTATACTCTATCTATGCACTTGAAACGCACAATATGATTTTAGGCTTTTTCTCCCCCTGTATATCTTAAGAATGATCCGGGAATGAAGTGTAAAACCAAATGTAAATGTGTATTTTAGCTATTCTGGTTACATCATGGGCAACACAGTGGCGCAGTGGGTAGCACAATCGCCTCACAGCAAGAAGTTTGCTGGTTTGAGCTCCGGCTGGGTCAGTTGGCATTTCTGTGTGGAGTTTGCATGTTCTCAAAATCAAAATTATTAGCCCACCTTTAAATTTCCTCAAGTTATGTTTAACAGAGCAAGGAAATGTTCACAGTGTGTCTGATAACATTTCCAAATGGAGAAAGTCTTATTTGTTTTATTTTGGCTAGAAAAAAAAAAAAAAACATTTTAAGGTCAAAATTACGAAAGCGTAGAGCTGCCACCCAGGTAAAAAAAAATCTGAGCTTTATCACGTTTGTACAATATACTTTTCACGTTCTTACAATATAATATCACGTTTGTACAATATAATATCACGTTTCTACAATATACTTTTCACGTTCTTACAATATAATATCGTGTTTGTACAATATAATATCACGTTTGTACAATATACTTTTCACGTTCTTACAATATAATATCGTGTTTGTACAATATAATATCACGTTTGTACAATATACTTTTCACGTTTGTACAATATATTTTTCACGTTCTTACAATATAATATCACGTTTGTACAATATAATATCACGTTTGTACAATATAATTATCACGTTCTTACAATATAATATCATGTTTGTACAATATAATTATCACGTTATTACGTGAAAACTTTAGGCTACTGGTGCGATCAGAGCGTGAGAAAATGTCTCGTTTTACAGAATTAATTAAGTTCTATTTTATGCTTGGATTGAGACATGGGGAAATTTTGCAGCTACTGATTGTGATTACTAGACCCAGTAATAAAACAGTTATTGACGTTATGATCCATACTCCTTTGCATGTCTGCCATTGTGACATTTTCTGTTCCCAGATTGGAGCGAATCCGGGAAGGTGTCCCAAGCCTCTTTTCAACTTCTGCTATGAAATAACCAGCAATGATTTTGGGATCACTGTTTGTTGAAAAGGCATGAAGCCAAATCATAGCTCTCGAAAACCCATCAATGGCTCCATTTATACAGATTCCAAAGGGCTTCAGTTTGTCGTAGGAGTCGACGTGGTATGTCGGCAAATCAATGCCAATATTAATCGAGCGCAGCAGTGATGTTTGCGCGCGTTGAGAAGTGAACCGTGAGCAGATTACATACGCGAGCGCACAGGGGATCTTAACGCGCGCGCTCAACTGATCCAGCGCGAGAAAAAAAGTCCCGCGCGCGCACATCATCATCTGTGCGCACGTATGGCGGCAAATAACGTGATAATTATATTGTACAAACATGATATTATATTGTAAGAACGTGATAATTATATTGTACAAACGTGATATTATATTGTAAGAATGTGAAAAGTATATTGTACAAACGTAATATTATATTGTACAAACGTGATATTATATTGTACAAACGTGATATTATATTGTACAAACGTAATATTATATTGTACAAACGTGATATTATATTGTACAAACGTGATATTATATTGTAAGAACGTGAATAGTATATTGTACAAACGTGATATTATATTGTAAGAACGTGAAAACTATATTGTACAAACGTGATATTATATTGTAAGAACGTGAAACTATATTGTACAAACGTGATATTATATTGTAAGAACGTGAAAAGTATATTGTACAAACGTGATATTATATTGTAAGAATGTGAAAAGTATATTGTACAAACGTAATATTATATTGTACAAACGTGATATTATATTGTACAAACGTGATATTATATTGTACAAACGTAATATTATATTGTACAAACGTGATATTATATTGTACAAACGTGATATTATATTGTAAGAACGTGAAAAGTATATTGTACAAACGTGATATTATATTGTACAAACGTGATATTATATTGTAAGAACGTGAAACTATATTGTACAAACGTGATATTATATCATCATCTGTGCGCACGTATGGCGGCAAATAACGTGATAATTATATTGTACAAACATGATATTATATTGTAAGAACGTGATAATTATATTGTACAAGCGTGATATTATATTGTAAGAACGTGAATAGTATATTGTACAAACGTGATTTTATATTGTAAGAACGTGAAAACTATATTGTACAAACGTGATATTATATTGTAAAAACGTGAAAAGTATATTGTACAAACGTGATATTATATTGTACAAACGTGATATTATATTGTAAGAATGTGAAAAGTATATTGTACAAACGTAATATTATATTGTACAAACGTGATATTATATTGTACAAACGTGATATTATATTGTAAAAACGTGAAAAGTATATTGTACAAACGTGATATTATATTGTACAAACGTGATATTATATTGTAAGAATGTGAAAAGTATATTGTACAAACGTAATATTATATTGTACAAACGTGATATTATATTGTACAAACGTGATATTATATTGTAAAAACGTGAAAAGTATATTGTACAAACGTGATATTATATTGTACAAACGTGATATTATATTGTAAAAACGTGAAAAGTATATTGTACAAACGTGATATTATATTGTACAAACGTGATATTATATTGTAAGAATGTGAAAAGTATATTGTACAAACGTAATATTATATTGTACAAACGTGATATTATATTGTACAAACGTGATATTATATTGTACAAACGTAATATTATATTGTACAAACGTGATATTATATTGTACAAACGTGATATTATATTGTAAGAACGTGAAAAGTATATTGTACAAACGTGATATTATATTGTACAAACGTGATATTATATTGTAAGAACGTGAAACTATATTGTACAAACGTGATATTATATCATCATCTGTGCGCACGTATGGCGGCAAATAACGTGATAATTATATTGTACAAACATGATATTATATTGTAAGAACGTGATAATTATATTGTACAAGCGTGATATTATATTGTAAGAACGTGAATAGTATATTGTACAAACGTGATTTTATATTGTAAGAACGTGAAAACTATATTGTACAAACGTGATATTATATTGTAAAAACGTGAAAAGTATATTGTACAAACGTGATTGTATATTGTACAAACGTGATATTATATTGTACAAACGTGATATTATATTGTAAGAACGTGAAAAGTATATTGTACAAACGTAATATTATATTGTACAAACGTGATATTATATTGTACAAACGTGATATTATATTGTACAAACATGATATTATATTGTAAGAACGTGAAACTATATTGTACAAACGTGATATTATATTGTAAGAACGTGAAACTATATTGTACAAACGTGATATTATATTGTAAGAACGTGAAAAGTATATTGTACAAACGTGATAAAGCTCAGATTTTTTTTTTTTACCTGGGTGGCAGCTCTACGCTTCCGTACTAAATGATTAGCCCCGTTAAGCTATATTTTCTGATAGTCTACCGAACAAACCATCATTATACAATAACTTATCCAATTACCGTAACCTGCCCAGTTACCCTAATTAAGCCTTTAAATGTCACTTTAAGCTGTATAGAAATGTCCTAAAAATAACTAGTCAAATATTATTTACTGTCATCATAACAAAAATAAAATAAATCAGTTATTTGAAATAAGTTATTAAAACTGTTGTGTTTAGAAATGTGTTCTCTCTGTTAAACAGAAATTGGGGAAAAAAATAAACAGGGGGGCTATTAATTCTTACTTCAACTCTATTTTTTATATTTTTTTGATGTTTGTACTTAGACAGTAATTGCTGCAGCCCTTTAACATTTTAAAATTAACAAAATCACACAGCTCCAGCACCAAAATTATGTAATCATACCCAAATAACTAGATTTAGGGTGACCAGACATCATGTCAGATCTATTTCTATTATCCTGACTTGTTAAGAAAAGTCATATTTTGTCCCGTATTTCACTTTTCCATTTTATTTTTCTTTGCTGATCACCAAGGTTGGGCAAAAAATATTAGTGCACAATTTCCATATATACTTCAAACCAGTGTCTTCAATATACAATAAGAAAAAATTCAGATCATTTTCTTCTGTTTTTGGACTCCTTTTCTGTAGACGCTAGTTTGATGGTTTCAGCAACAATATTCGTAACCACGCCCCTCTACCGTTTGTTTGCTACATTATGTGCTAAAAGAAAGCTCCGACCCCTACTCAGTTTTCAATTTCAGTCAGAGGCACATCAACATACTGAAATAAAATTTCCAGCGACTTCCAGTTCACACATACTTTAAGACTAACAATGTGTGCTAGCCAAATAAACATCTTGATATCATGCAGACTGTGTGACAGTATCTATGTGACATGACAGTTTATTTACATCAGGGATGTCATTTTCCATAACTCGTTAATTCAATTGACTTTCTAACCCCAAGTATGAACAAAAATGTAATTTCTGGCAAACTAGCAACCCCTAGTTCCACTAGTAGGCTTTAATAATGAACTGTGAGACTAGAAGTGTTGCAGTGGTCAGTGCTTTAGTCAGTGCTTTAGTCTCTACTAAAACAACTATCCAGTGGTCAGTATAACTCCTTTTTCAGCGATTATATTTAGACAATTTATTTAATGCACAGTTTATTTTAGGACTTGTGGTAGGAGTGTTAAAGCTCTTACAGGAATGTAATTTACATAATGACATGACAATTATAATGTTAAAATGACTCACGGCGAGATGAAGTTCTTCTGCACCAGGAAGGCAGAGACTCCACACAAGTTCCACAGCAGGTGATGATGAGCCCAGTCCAGGAACACGTCCAACACCTGCATCCAGTGTTGTTTCCATGTGGAAGAGAAGCGTGGCGTCCCGTCGCCAAAACGGCTGAGACTCCACGGCCGATGGGTCAGTGCGGTCACCACATTCGGATCCGCCTGCCGCATCTGAAGAGGAGGTGAGCAGATCATTTTCATATTATCTGTATTATTGTTTTTAAAAAAAGCATTCCTGGTTCAGACTACATGATATGAACCTAATATTACAGTTTTATTACTGCATACAATATGTCACTAATTTACAATATTATCTAAAATCTACAGGCTTACACACACACATACACAGCTACAGATAGACAATCACTTTCACCCACTGGAGTGGGTAGGCGGGACTGCGAGCAGCGCTTTTTAGCTGGTGGACCATATGGCTGCCGCCCTCATTGGACTATATTCACATCCCGTTGCAATGTTATGTCTATGTGTTTATGTGCTTGATTGCTGGGGCATTTCCCCCCTGTACTCACACTGCCCTAATTCAAGGACAGTGTGAGAGGGTGTTTTTTTATCGCCTCTCTCTTCCCGAAATGTATCTCATTTCCTCTTTCTAAAAGCTATCTTTCATCGACCTGCATGGTCAAAGGGGGTCCAATTTCACTGCATGAAAGTATATGTGACAAATAAAGGCTTCATCATCATCATCATCATCATTAGTCGGTCTTGTTTGATGCAGGGCAGTGGTCATCTCAATGGGTTGTTGCACCTGCTCTGCATAGAGTTTTGCACATCTCACTTATTTAACACACTGATTTACATAACCAGCTAATTAGAAAAAGGGTTAAATCATGGTCATGTTCCCTACACAGTGTTCCCAACTTCCTGACCACAGGAAACCTTTACTTCACTTCGAAGAGTTCATTCATGGATTTACACCATTTTCATAAACGCCACATCTTCACACAAGGTTAACACATACTCAAGAGGTGTGACATGATATACCCTCTGTAAATAAACACAATTTTAAATTCACATATCACACCCATGCCATTCTAATGTCATTCATGCCATTCTAATGAATCATTTAGACTCTCTTCCAGCTGGAATCATGGCAGAATGTTCTGTGGAGTTTACTACGCAGGGCACTTATGCTCAAATTAGAGATAAAATAACATCTGAAGTGAAAATGGAAACATAAAATGTGTTGAACATAAAAATGACATAAGGTGTTGTGATGTGACGTCTGGGTTGCCTGATAATGCACTGACAGATAGACAAATGTTTTCATTAGGGATGCAAAAATGCTTTGTAATAATTATTTATTACTTATTTTACTAAGTTATGTATTTTTGTCAGACCTTTTCAGTATAACTCAATAGATAAACAGCATAGTGACAGACACAAAGGAATCAGATCTCACGTAACATCAGTGAGAAATACTACAGTAACTGTACGCACACCGAAAGTGGTGAGAGCGTCAAAGTAGCCAAAAGTAATTTATTTTCAATGAGAGCCAGCGGCGATAAGTGGCGAGGAGCAGCGCGACGCGTCTTCGCCGGTGTGGGCGTCAAGGAAAGTTGAAATCAAGTCAACTTTATGGTAATGATCTATGACACGGTTCGGCGTCAAGCAATCAGAATGAAGTCCACAGCTTGAGAGGAGTTCAGGGAACACAGACCTGTGAACTTTGGTTCCGACCACAGTTGTTCCCAAGGGTTTGATTGTTGTGGTCGCCGGATTTTTAATTATTTACAATGTTTTCTCACAGGAACATGCATTAAATAAGTTACTGGCAAGTTACTGATGTGCATAAATGTTATATATATTTATCTTTAAAAATGTGTGCATCTCATGTGACAATACAAAACAGTATTGGTGCTTCAGGATATTTCAGACATATGGACACATTGGATAATTAAGTGGAGCAAAACCACCCCACATGCAACTTGATCTTCCATTGTTAAATGAGTTTGATAAAAAGTGAGCATCATTTTCATGCTAGAAATCACGTTTTATGCAGGAATGTAACTGATATGCAGCAACGACCCCTTTAAATACAAATTCAATGTAGCGAATTTTGACACTCTCGCCGCCGGAGCAGAAGGCAGACAACGTTGTCGCCAGGACAGCCAGAGCGACCTTGGACGCTCTTGCTGCTTTCGGTGTGAACACACAGTAAGAACTTTCCCAATGATTATTTGATGTATTTCTTATATGGAGTTAATTCAAGCACTTCTGCAAGGATGAACAGTGGCGGATTTAGGCATGGACAATCGCCCAGGGCGGCATTTTGCTAGAGGCAGCATGGAGAACCCTCGCTTTTTACTTTCGTCCAAGACTAACCCCCAACCTCTACACTTTCGTCTGCAAGAGGGCGGCACGAATACCGTGAGAGAGCGCCAATTACTAACGATGAGTGACACACAATGTTGTTACAAAAATTCAAGCACACACACAGCACGCACGTTTAACTTTGCACTGTTTTTGCACGCAAATGTGACTATACTATGGAGTCAATCTGGGGCCATATATACTTGCAAAATTAAAGAAAGTTTTGCAAACAAAAAAATTATTGACCAAAAAAATAAAAAAATGCAAATCTCCAAAAATCACCAAGCGAAAAATAATTTTTGAGAAATAAATTAAATTTGCAAAAAAACAAAAAACAAAAAACAAAACAAAACTGCAAATAAAAATCAAGCAGTGCAAAAAAACAAAAACAACATGTGCAATAAAAAAAGCTATATATTTGCAAAACATTTTTAAAGCCTTTACAAAACCAGACGTTACTACAGGGCTGTAAGACCACCTCGGTGATACTGTGTCCAAGTATTGACGTCGCTTTAATGGAGGTAGGTCCGGGCCTGCCGTAAATGAAGTGCAAAGTGAAAACTGCATCGCAAACTCACGTTGACTAAAAAGCAAATCAAAATGAGCATTGCAATTGACTGGACGGGTTTTGTTAAGGCAATGCTGAAAAAAATGTTTTGCAAATATATATATACACACAGTTGGAAGTCCGAATTATTAGCCGCCCTTTGAATTTTTTTTTTTTTTCAAATATTTCCCAAATAATGTTTAACAGAACAAGGACATTTTCAGTATGTCTGATAATATTTTTTTCTGCTGGAGAAAGTCTTATTTGTTTTATTTCGGCTAGAATTAAAGCCTTTATAAATTTTTTAATCACCATTTTAAGGACAAAATTTGTAGCCCCTTTAAGCTATGTATTTAGAATAGTCTATAGAACAAACTGTCGTTATACAATAACTTGCCTAATTACCGTAACCTGCCTAGTTAACCTAATTAACCTAGTTAAGCCTTTAAATGTCACTTAAAGCTGTATACAGTAGAAGTGTCTTGAAAAATATCTAGTCAAATAATATTTACTGTCATCATGGCAAAGATAAAAGTAAATCAATTCAGTGGGCAGGGAAACAGCACTCCTATGTCACGTTGTGGTCGGCCTCAAAGTGGGAGGGATTTGGATCCCATTTATTGTCAGAAAATGTAAAACAAGAGACTTATTGTGTTTACATCACCCCAATATGATTGTGGACACACTATACCTGCAAACAGTTCTGTCCAAACAGCTTTCAAAAGATGATTTTCATCATAGGTGCCTTTAATGTCTGTATTTAGTCGACAGTGCTTGCAGCTCCTTTTGCGCTTTGGTTTGCACAGCAAGAAAGCACACTTGTGGCACAAGCCATTGAAATAAATGGGTTTTATAGCCCAGTACTTTCAACATCTGATCTGAAAGCAGCTTCACACTGTGCAGTGACTACGGCTGGAGGGAGAGTGAAATCAGTGGGCTGAAGACTATATATACAGTTGAGATCAGAATTATTAGCCCCCCTTAAATTATTAGACCGCTTGTTTATTTTTTCCCCCAATTTATGTTTAACAGAGGGATTTTCGAAACACATTTCTAAACATAAGTTTTAAAAACTAATTTTTAATAACTGATTTATTTTATCTTTACCATGATGACAGTAAATAATATTTGACTAGATATTGTTCAAGACACTTCTATTAAGCTTAAAGTGACATTTAAAGGCTTAACTAGGTTAATTAGGTTAACTAGGCAGGTTATTGTATAACAGTGGTTTGTTCTGTAGACAGTCGAGAAAAAATATAGCTTAAAGCAGCTAATAATTTTGTCCCTAAAATTGTGTTTAAAAAATTTAAAGCTGCTTTTATTCTAGCCAAAATAAAACAAATAAGACTTTGTTTAGAAGAAAAAGTATTATCAGACATATTGTGAAAATTTCCTTGCTTTGTTAAACATCATTGGAAAATATTTTAAAAAGAAGAAAAAAATTCAAAGAGGGCTAATAATTCTGACTTTAACTTTTAGACTCCCTTCCAGCTGGAATCATGGCAGAATGTCCTGTGGAGTTCACTTCGCAGGGCACTTATGCTCAAAATAGAGATAAAATAACATCTGAAGTGAAAATGGAAACATAAAATGTGTTGGATATAAAAACTGACATAAGGTGTTGTGATGTGACATCTGAGTTGCCTGATATTGCACTGACAGAAAGACAGATGTTTTCATTAGGGATACATAATTATTCATTAATTATTTTACTAAATTAAGTAATTTTGCAAGACTTTTTCAGTTTAACTCAACTAAAATAAATAACTACAGTAATATTTTATTGACAGTGAACTAGGCGAGAGGTGTCATTTACCAGTGTTGCCTTGACTGCACAGTATTGCAAGCAGCAAGATCAAGCATGCTACATAGAAATGTCCTGCCGGTGCATTATTTAAGCTGACTTTGCTTTTTTAGGTGAGCTTGTGTGCTTCATGACATGCATAGATGTGTGTGCACATGAGCAGATAATCCACAATGGAAAATTGAGCTATTTTGCACTTTGACTTAAAGAGCACCTATTTCACCCCTTTTCCAAGATTTATGATAAGCCTTTTGTGTCTTCAGAATGTGTCTGTAAAGTTTCAGCTCAAAACACCCATCAAATTATTTATTATAGCTTTCAGAATATTGGAATTTTCTTCTATTAAGCTTAAAGTGACATTTAAAGGCTTAACTAGGTTAATTAGGTTAACTAGGCAGGTTATTGTATAACAGTGGTTTGTTCTGTAGACAGTCGAGAAAAAATATAGCTTAAAGCGGCTAATAATTTTGTCCCTAAAATTGTGTTTAAAAAATTAAAAGCTGCTTTTATTCTAGCCAAAATAAAACAAATAAGACTTTCTTTAGAAGAAAAAGTATTATCAGACATATTCTGAAAATTTCCTTGCTTTGTTAAACATCATTGGAAAATATTTTAAAAAGAAGAAAAAAATTCAAAGGGGGCTAATAATTCTGACTTTAACTTATATATATATATATATGTATATATATATATATATATGTATATATATATATATATATATATATATATATATATATATATATATATATATATATATATATATATATATACATACATACATACACATTTTCTCATCTTATATTTTCAGCTGTTTTTTTTCTTATGCCTGAAAATTGGAAAAGGCAACTTTCGGACGATATATTTTGACAGCAGAAATTTGTATGTATCCCAAGTTTACATTTCTTTGGTTCTTTATAACAAAGAATGACCAAAAACTATCACAACTATCTTTTTTTAAAGAACAAGCAATGATCAGGAACTAACACGTAATCTGAAATGCTCTAAAAATCTATGAATCCAAA